ACAACATGCTTTCTAAAATATTGAATTTTTTGAATTCCTAAACGTCTTAAATCCTAAAATGAGGTTAAAATAAAAATTTCTTTTGAAAATAGATATGATTTCTTACAAAACACTAACGGAACTTAAAAACCTTTCCCTATTTAGTTAAGCATCATTTAAATACATACAAATACATCAAAACCGTATATATATAGATTCTATAAAATATACCAAAATAGAAACATATGCATAAATTAGATAAGTATCTAGGTTTTAAATATTTTTTAAACAAATATAAAGAGCATACCTTTGCGTGATGCATTTTCCCGACCAGATGTTGCATTAACAATAGACGCATCTACAGGCCACTCTTGAACTACAAAATTTAAAGTGATGTATGCATAAATTTAATACAAAAAGGAGAATGAGGCGCACCATACCAAGGGTTATCGTAAATACGCAATGTGAACGAGAGGAATGTTCATTCATTTGAGTTGATCGAGTAACGCGATTAGCGGAACCCTCCTCCAGGCATTCCAAAAGATCTTCTTTAGTCTCGCATAGGTGTTCATATATTCCGCATACAATTGTATTTCCCTTATCGTCTTCGCGTATGTGTATATCTTTTGTGACTAATTCCCCCGAATCAAGAAGATCTCTGACATCTTCTTTATATATCTCAATGAAGGAAGCCGTGATAGAATATTTAGGTATCTCGGAGTCCTTTAAAGTATTAAATTAATTTAATAAAACAAACCCTGATAATATTAAAAATTTCATCAATAGCTCTAGGAACAATTCCACGTTCTTCTTCAAGAAGCTCAATTTGATTGGAAGTGCCCATTGTGTATGTTTTCCCAGAACCCTAATATATATATACACAAAAATAATTACTGTCTGTCCATATGCGAACACAGTGGAATTGTAGCCCTCAAAGAAATTTCTGATAAGCGGAAGGACGCAAGATGAAAATACATTAAGCTAAAAATATTAAACAAGAAGTACGAACTTGATGTCCGAATACAGGATAAACGTGATCAAAGGTAAAAATTTTGTCTTTTCCGAAAACGATTTGGTTATTGGAACTAATGGCACGAACGCAAGTTTTTTCGCCAGTAAGTATTTCGTTCTTTAATAATGGTCTAATCTATTTGAATTTAAATAATAAAATAAAAAATACTCTAGTCGCTACTCGTACGTTAATTTCTCCACCTACCCCGGTTTGCTATAGATAAAAAATACATTAAATAGAAGGATAATACCATATCGTATCTATATCAACAACAAAAGTTTACACATTTGTAAAAATACGAAGGCAATAATATTGGTTAAAACAAACTATTTACCACATTTCCCAAATTTTATATATTTTTACACAGTAACAAAACATTTAAAATATAATAATTTAATTTTTTAATTTTCTCAGTTTATATTATTTTAATAACTATCAGATAATGGTTTAACTTTAGCAAAATATCCCGAAAAATAAATTTATTAGATTTTCAAATATTTTTACTTAATATGAGTCTTAAAAATTGCTGAACCAAGTGTTTAATTAAGTTGCTTTTTTTATCACTCAGCCAATTTATCAAATCTCTCAGATTCTACCAATTAAAGTTAAACATTAATTTGAATAGTTTTTTGAGACAACCAGTAAGTCAGATATAATAGTTGTATTGACCCTATTTTATTTAAGATGATGAAGGACTGGTATTTGATTTTTATTACAATGATATCAGTAGAGCTGACGCTTCCGTTGAATTTCTAATAGCTTTGCTTTCCGAAAATGTGTTCTCATCCAGTTTGGACTGCTATTTCGATCTCGCATATGTCTTATCAACACCCCATGCGGAGTTATAGTCAACGTGTCTAGCTTATACGCTGCACTTTCACGGTTAGACTTCCGCTTAGTGTCTTGGTACATGGAAAGGAAACTTCAGCTGTACTCATATCATTGTAGAAAAATTCAACTACCAGTCCTTAATCACCTGAAACGAAATAGGCTGAATATAACCCATAATTATGAGTATGTCATAAATAGTGTTGCTTAAACCTTATTTTGGAGCTAAGTCGCAACACCAGTGAGACCCTGTGGAACATACATAGTCATTTTTCCTCTGTCATAGATTTCGTGATTTCCAGCTTCTGACTATTGACTTGGTTCATTTAAAAACGTTTTGCTGGCATCTCCAGTAAAAGGTTTCATCGTTAGCCCAAAGTTACGACTTATCAAAGTGACAAGTTAACAAGTGATAACTTGTGACTCTGTGTTAACGAGGGCACCTCCAACTGATAATACTGGACGTCATAGATACGCTATTATGAATACTTTCATTTAATATAAAAGTGCAAAAAGATGAGATTAGTAGATAGATCATAATGAAAGCCCAGG